TTTCCAAGTGATAACCAATGAAGGTGTTTTTGCTGCGGACGTCGCTAGGGGGCAGTGTGGTACTGTGAATTGTCATTGATTTACACAAACAGCTGTGTCAAGAACTGTGTCAAACTCAGCAAAGTGGAATTCTAGAGCTGATTTATGGAAGAGTAACTCTCTATAAATCGACAGTTTCACACCATAAATTAACTACAGCTTCCCTCCCTGTGACATGTCTGTCCCACCCATTTTCTATGTGTCCCTCCAGAGTCACTTCAGCTGAAGTCACTCAGGCATATGAAGGAATCCCAAGAATGATCACCTTGTTAAGCTTACACAATTTTTGCCCCCTAATCCTGCAGCTTGGAGGCCTCATTCATTCACTGCTTGGCTTGATGTGGGGGAGGTCAGAGATAATGCTGCAGCACCGGAAAGGTCGAACTGTTTGTTCCCCACAGAAAGGCAACAAACGAAGGTCGTGCCCTAAGAAAAGCCAGCTATTCAGGGAAAGTAAGAGAGTTCAGCCAATTCACCTTCCTTCTCTGATACATTCTACCACAAGTGTGAAAAATAAGTCCAACCTTCATGTTTGTTACCCTTTAATAAAAATTAAAAAAACAGTTTCATGTATCTGTTTTGATAAATCTACTATTGCTAAGGGTTCTTCAGGATGAGGTCAGGGCCCAGTTTCAGAATGTGGGAAGAGTTCAATTTCAGAATAATTTCAGAACAAATTAATCATCAAATTACTTTGAGAAACAACTCTGGTCAATGATAGCAGAAACAACAAACTGCAGGGGCCTCATGTTAGGGAGCAAATGCTCATCACACTCCAAGGCAAAGAAAGGCAAGGCAAGTTTATTTGTATAGCACAACTCAGTACAATTCAAAGTGCTTTAATTAGATAATAAAATAGAAGAAATATAAAAGCAGAACAAAAGCAAATAAAGATAAAACACCAGTAAAACAAATCAAACAGTTGGATCACAACCTTACACTAGTAAGCAGTTTAACCTCAGCAGTTTAACTTCAACAGTAAGGGGCAGTTCTAAACAAATGGGTTTTTAACTTTAACTCTAAATAACTCAGGCTTTCAGCCCTTTTACAGTCTTCTGGACCTGAGTGGTCTGGGAGGTTGACACACTGACATTTAATCTCATGTATTTTGGTGCTGATCCATTCAGAGATTTTTGGACTAACAGAAGGATTTTAAAGTGTGTTCTCTGAGCTACAGGGAGCCAGTGTAAGGACTTTAGAACCGGGTCCTTGTGCTCTACTTTCTTAGTTCTAGTGAGAACACGTGCAGCAGCTGTTTGGATCAGCTGCAGTTCTCTGATTGACTTTTTAGGCAAACCTATGAAGACACTGTTGTTGTAAGCAATTCTACTAAAGATAAATGCATTAATGAGTTTTGTTAGATCCTGCTTGGACATTAGTCCTTTAATCCTGGACATGTTCTTCATTCAATTATTATCTCAGTTTTGTCTTTATTCAGTTGGAGAGAATGATGGTGCATCCACATATTGATCCATGCAATTAGATCCATTTCAATTTGGATTAATAGATTTTTTTTTAATAGATTTCCTTTGTCTGCAATTCATATCAATGAAATACCAGACACATTTTGCTTAAAAACAGAAGAAAATATGCTTTATGGTGCGCCTCATTTTTTATTATTTGCTGAAGGCAAACTGTCAGGAATACAGTATTAAACTGTTACCATACAGCTAAGATAGATAATTTCTGCAAGGTTTCATATTTTCCTTTTGTAGATAGGAATGCTACTATCCCTGCCATGCTTGAGACAGGGGTTTAGCTCCAGACTGAGGTTGAAGTCCTTGTGACTTTTGTTTTTTAATCATCAATCATTAAGTAGTTGTATTTTTCGGTTAGTTTTGCAGATATAAAATATATACGGTAAAAGTAATTAAATTACTGTCACCAGGGCTAGGCTGGGTACTGCCTATTTTTTTTCCCCCTCAAAATTCAGGGACAATAAAAGCACCGACAGGATTGCAGGATTTTATAAATTAGAAAGCGTCTTTAGTAAGTTAAACACTTAATTTTTGTGTGTAAATGAGCTGATGACGTCACATCAGGTAAAAGAATTGAGGTGATCAGCTGCCATTAATAAACAAAGCGGGCTGAGTTAACGTCTTGTTTACATCAGACACAACTGCTTACTGCAAGGGGAACATTTTTCCTCTGCTTATTAAGTAAAATATGTGATAAAAAAAAAACTCAGTCTTTTTCTGTTTTACTCATTCTTTATTAAAACTGAAAACCATGTTATCATGTTATGGTTTCCTCACCTAAACTTAAAAGCTTTAAGGTATATAGGACTAGTGTCCTTTTCCTGGTCTCCAAAGATGCAGCAGGCGATAATGTCCTGTGCCGACTTATTGACTCAATGATTTAAACGCAATCTGCTAAGATACATCTAAGACATAAAACATCCCTATCAGGACTTCAGCTGGCCATTAACACCAGGTGTCTCAGTAGCTTTCAACATATTTGCTTCCTTTTTGACCAAAGTAAGTGCATGGTCGCTTTTATTTGACCTCCTTTTAAATGTTCCGTCTTCATTTATCTACTGGTGAACCTTACCTAATTTCAATTCCATTATAGAGTTAAATTACCCCCTGTAGCTTGATTCAAAAAGTAAAATAGCTTTGTAACACAAGGAGTGATACTGAATATTTGAAGCATTTTTCTACAGTTGATATTAACGGTTTTACTTTAATCCTAAATTTAGTTTAAGATAAAAAAAAAAAAAAACATGCTAATAACAGTTAAAAGCCAGCCTGAAAAGTATATCCATGTACTACAATATATGCAATCGGTACTTGTTTGGGGCTTCGTTTGCATGAATTGCTGGATTAATGTAGCCTGTTGTAAAGAGATCAGGTCATCTTCTTCATGACACTATTTCTCATGATTATACTCCACATTGTCTTCACCGGGGTCATGTCAGGCCAGTTTGGAGACAAACAAAGTACTTTGATACCAAATGCAGAAAAACTGGAAAAACGATCTAGAAATAAGCAAAAATGTCTTAAATTAAGTGTATCTAACCTTGATTTGAGAAGGTAAATGAGATAGTTTGCCAATGGAATGAGTATTTTTACTCTTAACATAAGATCATTAGATAATATGCACTTGAAATAAGAGAATGCAATAGTGTTTTCTTATTTTAAATGTAAATTGTCTTGTTCCATTGGCAAAATGTATCTTTTACCTCCTCAATCCCAGAACAAATGCACTTATTCTAAGAAAAAATGACTTATCTAGATTTCGATTTTTTCCAGTGAGCTATTGGTACTTTAGGCAACATGGGCAGATATCAAGTTATGCTGGGAAATAAAATCAGTCTTTCCATTAATTATTTCTCAAAGCAAAATTGCAGGACAGTTTGCTGCGTTGGTTGCGGACAAATAAAAAAAATCACACAGAGTGGACCAACATCAACAGATGATAAAACTATCACTACCTGAAAACCTCACATTGGACCCTAAACTAATTGGTGCCTGTTTCTCTCCTCTCTTCCTTCAGATTCAGGAATATTATTTCCAAATGAAAAACTATTATTTTTAAATCCCTAAATAAGACTTCAGAACACTCACCAGATGTCATTTTTGATAAAATTATTATGGTTGTCTCTGCTCAAGAAGTTTTTTATTAGAAGAAGTTATAGTTGTAGCCAGGCTCCATGAAGCACAGGCCAAATTTCAAAAAGAGTTGGAGTGGGGGCACCAGGAGGAGCTCGGCTTGCACACCTTTCATACTGTGCAACATCAGGACCATACTTTAGATGTAGCGATGTCAGTGAGAGTTTGGGTTAAGAAAAATATCTAACAGGAGATTTAAACCGACAGATGTGAATTACAAAATAAAAAAAGCACAATGACATGACTGTAGGTAACTTTATTTCCGTCACAGCAGGATGAACATACAGTTGTGAACAGAGAGGTAGTGGAAGGATTATGCATTCCTCCACAGGTGTGAGAATTCAGCGTTTTTAGCACAGAGCAAACAGTGCAAATCATCACAGTGTAGAAAAACATTTGATTGTCAGTTTATCACAGCAGAAGAAAATCTCTTATTCAGAGAAAACAGGACGTTCAGAAGATACTCTTGAGAGCTGACGTGTTAATAGTGTAAGAAGTCTCCCACTGTTCAGTATCAGTACTGAGCTCTAACAGCAGATGGAAATAAATCAAACATTAAATCAAAGATAACTTTGTACAAAGATGTAACTATTAAATGTCTCCTTTAGTATAAAAGCTAACTTTTCCAATAGGCTTATAAAAAATACTGAGATAATATACAAAACTGATTGATGGATAGCACATATATGTTAATGACATCAATTGATGTAATTAAATCTGGTCATCAAAAGATACAACACTGTATAAAAAGATGTATACAAAGTCCCTCATGAACCGTTCCCTAAAAAACAACCCTCAATGCGCCAAGAATGAATAAATTAAAGACGTCTTCTGGCAAAATTCACTTCATAGATTCAAATTAGCTTTATATTCATTAAGAAAAGTAAATATATTTTATATAGCTGGATGGAGTATAGAAAAAAGCATTCAGGGTGTGTTAAAAGGCATAAAAGTAAGTTGTTAATAAAGGCAGTACTGGTTGTTTGGGTTTACAGTGCAAGCAGTAGTTGGTTTTACAGTTCCCTATTGCTGGGGTAATCAATGATAAGCAGTGATTTCTGATTAGGTAGCAAAGTAACACTCAAACAAGACTGTAAAGAATAAAAACAAAAACATACTTATAGGTTTCATCTCTTTGAATAAAACCTTGTAAATTCGGGGAGCTGCTCCTATAATACTGAGTAAGTTATAGACATCAAGATCGCACCCAAAAATAAACTCCTGGAAGATGTCAACTTAGCCACCAGGTAAAAATGTCCCAGTATTTACATGGATAAATCAGTGTGAAATCTACAGCAGCACATGAAACAATGAAAATCCTGCCCTCCAATTCAACAGTGGAACATAAAAAAATAAAATAAATTCCGTTGCCGGTTATAAGCCAAAGCTTGACAAGCTGTTTTCCTGACTTGAGGGGCGCTTGTACCCTGACGAACTGAAGTACATCTCTCCGTCAGTGCTGATATCGTCATCGTCATCATCGTCCAGATTGTTGAGCAGAGGGGCAGAGGTATTCTTACGCCTGCATTGGACATATTTTTTAAACAAGCATTATGAAAATCCCTACAATAACTGTTAACCCTTCAATGTTTTCAGCATTATATATACGTTGCTCTAGTCAGATGTGACCGTATTATAGATTTAGGCCCAAAAAATATATACTGGACATCATCTTGAACTGGGGCTGCAAATAAACAAGCAACCCATGACTAATTGTCAATAAATGGTTTAAATTAAAATATGCTCCATCTGATTAACTACAAATCCATAAAGAAGGAATTCCTTTCACTGTTGTTGCCATCCAGTAGAGGGGGAAGTTGCTCATTTATAAGCAGTGCCTAGTGTTGTAGTCAAGGCCACACCAACCAAGGGGGTTGGTCTTTTCAAATTTTCTGGAACATCCTTAACTATACCTTTAAGTTATTGCCTAAGTAGTGCCCATTTAGCTGTGCTGCATGGGGGAGCAAAATGTTATAGAAAAACATGACAGAAAAAGACCTGCTAGCAATTAGAATGGTAGATGGAGAAGGCTTTTGTGAGCCGACACACTTCCACTAGTAATCTGGTCACCATGCTTTTTCAACTACACCATGATGTACTCCTTTGTCTGCCATGGAACCCAAATAAAAACTCTGATCTGCTTGTTGTTAGATGTGACGGAGTGGTTGTGGTTTTTTCACCTGATCTCGTTGCGCAGAGCTTTGAGTTGGCTGTTGAGGTGCTCATTGGCCTCCTGCTGTTCATCCAGGTCCCTCTGCAGCTTCTTCTTCCCGTGCTCCAGTCGCTCGATCTCCTCTTCAGCCTCATCCATCTGCCTCTTTAGGGCTTTCAGGCGCAGATTCAACTGCAAGAAGAAAAAAATTAAACAGTCCCTAAGGTTACAAAGAGGCATGACCTCTAGATATGGTAGCTGGGTGTGCAGCACCAGCTTTAGCTGTGAACTCCCAACAGAGATCTAAGTCGCCTGCATTATTCTAACGTACGATATAATCTTAAAGGATGTGGAGAATTGTTCTTTAGCATGCTTCTTCAAACTACAGAACAACAACACATGGTGTCTGCTTTCAGGGTTCATTACACCTGATGTGACATTTTCTAGTTTTTAGTTTTTTTTTATATTAAAGGATGAACCTGTGTGGGAAAAATATTAAATTTTAGTGCCTTAGGATGCTCTGACACCATTAAGCAAAAATAATCAGAAAGGAGTTGAAGCAGTCAGATTCAAGCATCCAGCATTATGAGCTGAGTGTCTCTTTGTACTGTGTTTAGTGGGATGAAGTAATGTTATTATTGTATTATTATTGTAACAGCTGTGCTATGCGAGAATTGCATGGTCATTTATTCATATTCATGTTGCTGCAGCCTCTTTTTTTTGTTTGATGTAACCATGAAAGTTAAGGTCCTTTTAGTACTTTGTCTTCCCAAGCGATGAAAAACTAAGAAGGATAGGAAACGGTGTGACATGGGTGGAACTGTGAGTCTGGACATGATGGTGTTTGAGTTACATACTTGATCCTTCTGATCTTGCATCGTGTGATGTTCCTCTTCAATTTGCATCATCATCTCTTTGACTCTCCTCTCCAGCCTACGGTTGGCCAGGGAAAGGTTGGACTTCTCTCTATGAAACAAACATCTTACATCAAATACAGCTCATGGAGTTTGGTTTGCACACATTACATTCAATAAAAAAAACCTAATCATAGTTTTATGGTGAAATATGCCCAGGTTGATACAAAGTCAAATTAAACTTTTCAGTCAAAGATCAAGCTCATATTAAGCAGATTTTTCTCACCGTTCCTCCACCTCCAGCTTCTCTTCTAGCTCTTGTATGCGAGCCTCAAGCTCAGTCACCAAACCCTCCTTGTTGGACTTTTGGGAGCCTTCGAGATGAGCCACTCTGGACTTCAAATCTTTATTCTAGAGACAGCACCATAGGGAATGTAATGAGGACCTTAGCAAAGCTAGTATCAAACTCTATATGTCTATATAATCTACAAACATGAACAAACATGGAGGGCATGGATACATTGAAATGAATGTGATGTGAAAATGAATGAAGTGCTTGTTGATGTGTTGTTGTCCAGACAGGGGAGATTGTACCTGTCTCTCCAGAGCCAACTTGTCACACTCCAGGTCCTGTCTGCTAGCCCTCTCCTGCAGGAGTTCATTCCTCATCTGCTCCACCTGTCAAGCCGAGTCCAGACACTGTCATCACTGAACTCCCACAACAATTACCCTCACACTCTGTCTGCGTCTCGCCCACAACAGAAACCGCTGTGCAAGTCAGTGAGTCAAAGCACAGAACAATGGAGGAGTAAACGTCACAAACGTTCTGCTTAATTGGTAAGCTGGATTTTCTTCCTTTACTGCATTCCTTTACTTGTTTCGGTTGCTGTGCCAACTCTCTGTGAAACGGGATTTTAATTAAGAGCAGCTTCTGTTTACAAAATGAAGATGTTGGCTTTCATGAAAACACACAAAAAAACAAAAAACAGTACACATCTCCTGAGTCAAAGATTTTAATTGTAATAAAACAGTTATAAGATCTGATCATAAAAAAATCATCTGGTCAGGGTTTGTTAGTCTTTTCCCTTAAATCATGACACAGCCGGCCTCCAACCAAATAGTTTGTTCTGTTCTGAGACAGTTCCAAATATAAAACTCTTAGTGCCAAAGCCACACCCTCGTCAAGAACAACAGGTTTGGTTTAAACCCCGATGTAAGAGTCATTTATATGTGATAATGTGGACATTTACCTGTAGGTTTTCTCTGAATAACTTTAAAAACCCAACATAATAAAGAATATAAGATAATTTATAACAGGGTATATGAAATGTCATGTAAAGATGAAAAACAAAATATCTTTTTTAGATCTTTTACCCTTTAGATATGGAAATAACAAAAGTAAACAGAATTTCAGGCTGCATGATATCAGAAAACTTGATTTCTAACGTGTTTTGTTTTAAACTAGCATTTTAATACAGCTGCTATGTTAATTGAATAGAAGAAACTTATTAAAGGCTTTCCGAAATGCCATCTTGAAATATTCTCTAAGTAATTAAAATAAAAGGCATCATCAAGGATTCCAATACAGGGCAAAGTTGAGCACGAATTTGTGGTCCTTACATAATTAGCTAATATTCATGGCAGGTCAGGTAGTTATTTGTAACATTGATGATGCTTACATTAGAACTGCAATAATTATCATTAAATTGGAATATTTTGCACAACCCATTTTCTGAATCTCACACTAATCCAGACCTGAAAAAAGGAAAAGGAATTACCATATATTTCAGTGTTCAAGCAAATAAAAAAAAAAAAAAAACACTGTTGATTTAAGATGAATTGTTCTCAAGAAGATAGATTAATTCAACCTGATAAGTTGATGGTATGAATGCAAGATCTCCTTAGTTAAAAGATTTAGATTGAAAAGAAAAAAGCTTAAAACCAAAAACCCTGTTAAACTTTAGAAAGTGGTGATATTAGTCAAATTAGTCTGTTAATTCTAAGAAACAAACTGTTTTTTTTTTTATTAAAAATACTAACAGTTTATGATTTCAATCTCAGGTCTGCGGAATCAGCCCTACTTTCACATGAATATTATTTGTAGGGTTTCTAGATGAAAAAAAAAAACACAAAAAAAATCTAAATAATGGTAACACTGACTGAAAAAAATAAATAAAAACCTTAAGTTGGTAAAGATAAGTTTGTTGCAATGAATTTGAATTTTCTTTTTAAGAATATGTCAGCAAAGTAATTACATTCCATTGATGTTTCATACTCTAATTTTCTTTTACTAGACCTAGCTCTTTATTCAATTATATTCTATACATTTGGCTAAGAGCGCATCACTGAGTTGAAATAATTAGAAATATTTTTTAAATTGGCAACACATTTTAAATCTAATAGTTTTCCTCTTTTAAAAATTAGTCTTAAATTGAATTTTTAGATCTGTCTAAATCCATCTAATATAAATATTTCTACTTTCTTCTATTGAAGGGAGGTTATTATAATACTGATATAGGGTATCAGTGTTTAAACACTGTAGGCCAGATGAGGATGTGTGTCTCCACTATTGAACTAAATATACTTCTCATCTTTGAGGGGATCAGCTCAGAAAGGTCTAACTGCTTCACTGGCAGACTAGTTCCACAGAAGGTGGAATAAAAAGTGATCAATACAGAGGTGATGGCTGTTTCTTTGGAGAGAGGCTCAGAATCGGTGATATTTTATGCCAATTAGAAGGTGACAGTGGGCTGCTCTGATGAACGATGGGCCCCATAACTGGTGCAGCCAGCGCTGTGCTTGAGGGAGCTGAATCAGCAGACTGGAACATGCAGCGAAACTAATCTGCTTTGTGAGAGACGGCAGGAGAAGAGAGAGGAGATTACTCTCATTTAGACAGGAGAGGAGCACCTGGTGCCAGGAGAGACGCAGGTGTTCGTCCTGCTGCCTGCGCTGCAACCCCACCACCACCGCTGCTGCGCCCCCCAGACATTAGAGAGCACACACATACACACCCACGACTCATACGCACATTCACCATCGCGCACCAGCAGCACTCAGACTGCACAAAGCTCGGGCGTTGCCTTGACTACCGACCTCAGCCTCATGCTGAACCAGTGGCACTTTGTCAAAATGCCACTCTTATCTGTGCCAGGACTCTCTCTCTTTGGGGAGACCAAGATTTTAACACTCCACCCTTCCTCATTACTGTCTTTATATTGAAGATTTGGCCTCAACACTCAGATCTGTGAGGAAAACCTGCAATAAGCTGACATTTGACCACTTCTTTATATTTTTAACATAGAAACCCTAAACAAACCATCCATGCTATTATAAAAACACTGTTAATTAATAAAAGTGATCAAATCAAATGTCCGGTGCCAGCTTCCTCTGTATCATAATAATCAAATCCATCTCATGAGACTTCCTAAAAGCATATTAACTTCACCCATTTCCCACTTCACGGGCTTCCGTCAGCAGCTTTATCACAAAGGAAAGAAAACTGGAGCTCTATCTTGCAAGAATATAAAACGTTCTTGTTCTTGGGCCGATGATACTCGGAGCAATTTGGAAGTGAACTCTACAACCTGAAAACTTGAGAAGTTTGGCAGCCTTAATATTCTGGCTCAGGCAAAGCATTAAGAAGGGTATTTTTGTGAAGGAGTCATGAAAATTAGAGAGAAGGCTGGCAGGCCTCCAGGCTGGCCGATTGCACAAGATTATCTTACAAGCAATAAGTCTGCAGGACTTATTGTACAAAATATGAATTGAGGGGCGTTGATGGTGCATATAAAGACACAGACAGGTGATTCACAGACTCACTGAACACATTTGGGACCACACATAACTACATGGAGTTTCCTTCATTGCTGAAGTTATGATGTTAGAAGTGGAAGACAAAGCAACAGGCGATCATTTACAGACAGATGGAACAAAGACAAGCCTGTGTGAGGCTGGATAACAGGTCAGTGAGACAGGTGAGCTCTGATAATGAGAATGTGTTGAAGGTGTGTGTGAATGTACCTGCTCTCTTCCTCTGTCTATCCTGTCCATCAGCTGGTCTCCACTTTGACGCTCCTCTTCGAGGTCCATCTCCAGCTGAGCTATCCTTTCCTGGAAATGAAAGGTGTTGCAGCCGCACTGTGAGTCAGCGTTGTTTTCTCACTCACTCCCTCAGTAATAGTCTGTAAACTAAACTAATACTATTTCTATGGAGATTTAGTTGACATTGTGATTTACCTCCATGAGTTTCGTCTGTTTAGATTTGTCATCCTTGGTCTGTGTGTTTTTCTCAGCCTCCAACTCCAGATCATGAACTTTTTTCTCCAGCGTTTGTTCCCTGAGAACAGCTTCATCTCGCTCCCTCTGACAACGCTGCAGTTCTTCCTCTCGGAGCGATAACTGAAAACACAAATACCTATTGGTCCAAATGACTGGGGGACAGTCAGAAAAAACAATGCTATAACTGTCTTCTAAATGTAATAAGCAGTAGTTTATTACTTATTTTATTTCACACATTAATGTTTTCATTCATGTCTCCAGAGATCTCCAAAGTATCGTCTTTGCTGATGAGGCCACTTTGCTCTACTCCGGTGGAAATTTCTCAACAAGGATAAATGCAGGTAAAAGGGATTTTAGGGGCATGAAAACAGGGTTGATAATTACTTATCATTTGATGTCAGAAAGACTGTGTTATATTTAGAAGGGGAGAGATTCCCACCCA